GCTGTGCCCCCCATCCTCCACGGTGCTCCTTGGGGTGCGCAGGGCCCCCCCAGTGTCCCCCAGTTTTGGGGAGGGGGCACGGTGCCTGCGGACCCCCATCCAACCCCCATCCCAAAATAGGGGGTCCCCATCCCACCCCACAACTCGTGTCCTGGGGTCCCCATCTGACCCCACACCCCAACATTTGGGGTCCCTGTCCTTTCCTGCACCCCAAAACAGGGGACACCCATCCCACCCCACATCCCGAGATTTGGGGTCCCAATCTGACCCCACACCCCACACCCTGAGGTCCCCATCTGACCCTGTACCTCAAAACAGGGGATCCCCGTCCCTTCCTGCACCCAAAAATAGGGGATCCCCATCCCACCCCTCATCCCAAGATTGGGGGTCCCCATCCCACCCCACACCTCAAGATTTGGGGCCCCTGTCTCACCCCATAGCCCAAGATAGGGGGTCCCCATCCCACCCCACACCCCAAATCTCGGGGTCCCCATCCTTTCCTGCACCCCGAGATTTGGGGTCCCCATCTCACCCCATAGCCCAGGTCCCAGGGTCCCTATTGTGTCCCGCATCCCAACATTTGGGGTCCCCAAATGCACCCCAAAATAGAGGGTCGCCATCCCTCCCCACATCCCAAGATTTGGGGTCCCCATCTGTCCCCAAATCCCAAAACCTGGGGTCCCTATCTGACCCCATACCTCAAAAAAGGGGATCCTCAGCCATTCCTGTACCCCAAAATAGAGGGTCCCCATGCTGCCCCATATCCCATGATTTGGGGTCCCCATCTCACCCCATAGCCCAGGTCCCAGGGTCCCCATTGTGCCCCACATCCCAAGATTTAGGGTCCCCGTCCCTCCCTGCACCCCAAAATGGAGCGTCCTCATCCCATCCCCCATCTCAAGATTTGGGATCTCCATCTCTTTCTGCCCCCCAAAATAGGGGGTCCCCATCTCACCCCACATCCCAACATTTGGGGTCCCCGTCCTTTCTTGCACCCCAAAAGAAGAGATCACCTTCCCGCCCCTCATCCCAAGATTTGGGATCCCTGTCCCACCCCATAGCCCAGCATTTGGGGTTGCCACCTCTTCCTGTACCCCTAAATAGGAGATCCCCATCCCACCCCACATCTCAAGGTTTGGGGTCCCCGTCCCACCCCACAGCCCAAGATTTGGGGTCTCCACCCCTTCCTATACCCCAAAAGAGAGAGTCCCCATCCCACTCCATAGTCCAGGTCTTGGGGTCCCCATCATGTCCCACAGCCCAAGATTTGGGGTCCCCATCCCTTCCTGCACCCCAAAATAGGGAGTCCCCATCCCATTCCCCATATCAAGATTTGGGGTCCCCGTTCCTTCCTGTACCCCAAAATAGAGGATCCCCATCCCACCCCATACCTCAAGATTTTGGATCCCCATCTCACCCCATAGCCCAAGGTTTGGGATCCTTGTCTCTTCTTGCACCCCAAAATAGAGGATCCCCATCCCACCCCACATCTCAAGATTTGGGGTCCCCGTCCCTCCCTGCACCCCAACGTTCGGGGTCCCCTCCCCACCCCACTTCTCAACATTTGGGGTCCCCAACCCACCCCATAGCTCAGGTCCTGGGGTCCCCATCCCACCCCTTATCCCAAGATTTGAGGTCCCCATCTGAACCTGAACCCCATACCTTGCAGTCCTCACCCTACCCCACACCTCAGGATTTGGGGTCTGCTCCCCACCCCGTACCCCAAAACAGGGGGTCACCATCCCACCCCACACCCCATATCCCAGAATCCCCATCCCACCCCACACCCCAAAACAGTGGGTCCCCATCCCACCCCATACCCCAAATCATAGAGTCTCCATCCGACCCCATATCCCACATCCTGAGGTCCCCATCCCTTTCTGCATCCCAAACCAGTGGGTCCC